GTTTTCCCACCCACCCTCCACTAAGGTAAGTATAGGTAAGTATTCCACTGCCAAGTCAGTGTGACGGTGCTAGGTGGGAGGTGACAGGGTTGCCACAGTTACCGCTGACCTCCGCCGAGTTCCCGAGGCTCCTCCCACCCAAGCACCAACGCCAAGCTCATCTACGTGTGATGAGTTTAATTGGTAGTAAGTAGTACGTGAAGTAAATAGTGGGGAATATTTTGACGGCTTGCAGTGGGTTGTAAAATCAAAAGCAGAACTATTTCAGATCGGCGGAGCGGTCATCAACTAAAAAGCCGAAAATTGAAAGATTTGGATTCAATGGTACTGCCTTCAAGCCTATGCTATAAAGCAAATATCGGAATTGTATAAAAAGCCTTTCATAGAAAAGATCATTATTTGAGTACATAAAAAAGACAGATTTTAAATTATTAAATTTTTTATGAGTTTGTCCCTACAAGTTAAAAATCGTGCTGATGACAATACGGCATAGAGGCATAAAGACAACAAGCATCCCAAGGGCCAAAGAATGAAGTCGTATGACTGATGGGGATATATGACCCACTGATTAAGTCAACAAGGAAACAGCTTTCGTCAAATTAATCGAAAGAGGTTTGATCCTCCACAAAAGTACACATTTTTACTGATGAACCTCTTTTCTCTCTCCTGTGAAGCCCTAGGCTACCCCCACTAATAAAAACATACCTTCCACACTTATATAATTCCTATATAATTCCTGTATTTCAAAAAAGCCGGTTAGTGAAGAGTAATACCTGTGTATAAAAAGGGATCCCAACTTTGTGTTAACAACTATCGTCCTATCTCATTGCTATCAGTCTTTAACAGAATTCTAGAAAAATTGGTATTTAAAAGACTCTCAGGTTTCATTAATAAACACAACTTACTTTACTGTAAACAATTTGGTTTTAGATCTCGTCACTCAACAATACATGCAATTCTATCTATCACTGATAACATTCAAAGAGCATTTGAAAAAGRCACATTTTCCTGTGGTATTTTTCTAGATTTGAGTAAGGCATTTGATTCAGTTAATCATCTAATTCTACTCGAAAAACTAGATCACTATGGAGTTAGAGGTTTAACAAGAAGCTGGTTCACCTCATATTTAAGTGAAAGGAAACAATTTGTTTGCCTTGGTAATGTTAACTCAGACGCATCGAACATTTCATGTGGCGTCCCGCAAGGGTCAGTATTAGGCCCTCTACTCTTTTTATTTTATCTTAATGACTTCCATAACTCGTCAAAGATACTTGAATTTCATCTCTTTGCTGATGATGCAAACCTCTTTTATACTAACAATAATCTTCAAGAGTTAGAAGAAAAAGTAAACAGGAAGTTAATTCATGTTCAAAACTGGTTATGTGCCAACAAACTCACACTCAATATTGGAAAATCAAATTTCCTTATTTTTCATCCACCTCAGAAAAAACTTACTAACAATATTAAACTCTGCATTAATATTAAGCTACTGAAACAAGAAAAATATTTTAAATATCTTGGCGTCATGATTGATAGCCATTTGAATTGGAAAGCTCACATTAATTTTGTCGCCAAAAAAGTAAAACGTAGCATTGGTATTTTATCTAGAATTAGGCACTTCACTAATCTTAGTATCTTGATTAATCTTTATTACACCTTGATCTACCCTTTTCTGACCTATGGACTTTTAGTATGGGGCAACACCTATCACTCCACTATCAACCCCATCTTCATCTTACAAAAAAAAGCTCTGCGTATACTAACATTCTCTGACTACAGGGACCACTCCAATCCTCTTTTCATTAAGCATAACATAATTAAGTTCCATGATCTTGTCTTTTATCACAATGCAATATTTGTTTATAATTTCAAAGCAGGTAACCAACCTAGGTTATTCAATAATTTCTTTGAATCTGTTAGCAAAAGACATAATTATGATACCAGACTTGCCTCCAAAGTGTCACTTTCTCTTCCCAAAATTAGAACAAATTACGGAAAATTTAATATTAGATTTGCTGGTGTTAAAGCTTGGAACTCATTGGACGAGGAAATTAAAAAAGCCTCCAGCATTTCHAAATTCAAAGAGTTATTAAAAGACTCAATTATCAAATCTTATAGTACTTAACGTTATTCCTCCAATATTCTTCATCCTATATTTTTCTATAACTTAA